TGCCTATCTGCCTCTCTTCATTTTCCAAGCTAATTATTGTTGTTTTCTTTAATTTTTCTTTTCTTAAGGTTTTAAAACTTTATTTACATATTTAAAAATTATTCATTCCAAAAATTAAAAATATTTGAACAAAAAAAGGCACTCGGATTAAACTCTATTTTACAGCCTGCTGTACATCTTAGGTCATCTTGGTTTTCCCTCTAGATTACAACATAGTCCCACCCAGCTTCTTCCTTCACCACTATGCACATTCTTTTCCCTCCCTGCAAGACAGAAGGGAGATGGATGAGGAAGGCATAGCATTGGACATCAGTCATTCTCCATTCTTTGATGTGAAAGGGGCAGCACAGTCATTTAAACTTGATCCAACCTCTTTGCATCTTACAAAGTTAAACAGCTCAGAGAAGTAAAACAAGAAGGCAATGCCTGTGGAATGTACAGTCCATACTGACAGGCTACACCTCATTATGATTCACCTGCTTGATTCTCCTCTTCAATCGTTTCTTTTGAAGGCAGTGGATTTTTTTTCTTGTGTTTCTATCTTCTTCAGTTTCTACTTATTGAACTGTTCATCTCAGCCACATCAGGTTTGTCAGACATGGCTGCAGAGGAGGCCAAGGGAGACCACTGAACAAACTAAATCCAACCTAGGCAATGGCCACCACTGAGCCCTTTAATTTTTCTAATTTTAAATTGCTGTATTTACCTTTTCCCTGTGATCTCTCCAGGACCCACTTTAATTTCTAGAGATTTCTCCAAACATAAATTCCAAAGTTCTTATAGGGCAACATCCATATTTATTCACTTACCTTTTGAGAACTCCCTGAGGGTAGCAATTCTTCAAATCTTTGTGTCTAATACTTCACAGAAGATTTGGCCACAGAGAAAGTACCCAAAAAGTGTCACTTAAAACTAAAATAGAAGATTTATACCTATTGTACAAGCAGATCCTAAACAGAGTACTAAAACTCAATGTTATAACAGAGAATAATGGGCCAGCATCCTATTGAATAGAGAAAAGCTGGAAACATCCCCACTGAGATCCAGACCCAGACACCATTGCTATTCAATATACTCCTGGGAGGGTTAGTCAGAGCTATTAGGCAAGAAAAAGAAATCAAAGGGATACAAGTAGGAAAGGAGGAAATCAAACTATCCCCATTTGCAGATGACATGATCCTATGTATAGGGGATCCAAAAGACTCCGCTGAGAGACTGTTGGAACTCATAAAAGAGTTTGGTAAAGTGGTAGGTTATAAAATTAACACACAAAAATCAACAGCCTTTGTAAACACAGACAATGCCATGGCTAAGAAAGAACTTCTAATATCAATCCCATTCATAATAGCTATAAAAATATTGAATACTTTGGAATAACCAAGGATGTCAAAAACCCCTATGATGAGAATTACAAAACATTAAGGAAATAAAAAGAAGATACAAAAAAATGGAAAAATGTTCCATGTTCATGAATTGGAAGAATCAAGATCATCAAAATGCCAATGACATTCTTCTCAGATCTGTAAAAAACAATGCTAAAATTCATATGGTAACACAATAGGCCCTGAATAGCTACAGCAATCATCTACAAGAAAAACAAAGCCAGAGGCATCACAATATCAGATTTCAAGACATACTACAGCCAGTTATCATCAAAATGCCTGGTACTGGCGAAAAAAGAGACATGCAGAGCCATGGGACAGAATAGGAACTCCAGAAATCAGTCCACGCACCTATAACCAATGTATCTTTGACAAAGGAGCTAAAATCAATCCCTGGAGCAAAGACATTCTCTTCAACAAATGGTGCTAGAAAACTGGATCTATGTGTGCAGAAGTATGACAAGACCCTTACCCTACACCTTCCATAGAAGTCCATTCAAAATTCATCAGAGACCTAAATATAAGATCCAATATCATATAACTAGAGAACATTGGGGAAACTCCACAAGACATCTTTGAAAAGACCCTAGAATCACAGGCAATCCAAGCCAAAATTGACAAATGGTATTACATCAAGCTGAGAAGCTTCTGTACTGCAAAAGGAACTCAGAAAAGTGAAGGGAAATGCAAATTAAAACCACAATGAGGTTTCACCTCACCCAGTTAGAAAGGCTCTCACACAGAAACAATAAAAACAACAAAACCAACAAATGCTGTCAATGATATTGGGGAAAAGATACTATAATCTAGTTTGTGGGATGTAAACTGGTATAGCCACTGTAGAAGACAGTATGTAGATACTTCAGAAATCTGAATAGACCTACTATATGACCCAACCATCCTACTCCTGAGAATTTACCCAAACAAAAAAGAAATAAGCATATGAAAAGTTATGTCTACCCCATGTTCATTGCAGGACAATTCACACTAACTAAGATATTGAATTAACCCAGATGTCCATCGACTGTTGGCTACATAAAGAAATTACGATATATACACATTATGGAGTACATTCAGCTATTAAAAAAATAAATTTTGTCTTTTGCAACAAAATGGACACAACTGGAAACCATTATACTTATTTAAATAAGCCAGTCCCAGGCCGGTGCCATGGCTCACCAGGCTAATCCTCCGCCTGCGGTGCCGGCACCCCAGGGTTCTAGTCCCGGTCAGGAGTGCAGTGGAGGATGGCCCAGGTCCTTAGGCCCTGCACCCACATAGGAGACCAGGAGGAAGCACCTGGCTCCTGGCTTCGGATCAGCACAGCGCGCCGACCACAACGCGCCGGCCGTAGCAGTCACTTGGGGGGTGAACCAACGGAAAAAGGAAGACCTTTCTCTCTGTCTCTCTCTCTCTCACTGTGTAACTCTGCCTGTTAAAAAAAAAAAATAAGCCAGTCCCAAAAAGACAGATATCATATGTTCTCACTGATCCAAGTAACAAATAGAATACCTAAGATGTAATGTATTGGAGTGAAATAGACATTTTGAGATTCCATGATTGCTTACAGCCTTTGTCATTTCCATTGAGGAACAGTGGGGATTTTTTTTTTCATACTATGTGTTGAATCTTTCACATAGGGTAGGGTTAAGTTTACTATCATTAAGTAAATTGAAAATACATCCTCGTAAGAATCAAGAGTGGGAATGGGAGAGGGAAGATGAAAAGGGGTTGGAACATGGGCAGGAGGGAGAATAGGATGAGAGATACCACTATGTTCCTAAATCTGTACATGTGAAATATATGAAACTTGTATTAATTAGATAAAATTAAAAAAAAATCCAAAGTCATGTTCTTTATTTATACACTGGTCTGCCTCCCTAAAGGCATAACATAATTAATTTTGGTGTCCACTATCATTATATTGAAAATTATTCTTTTGCTGATCATGACAGCACTATCTGGTGTCCTTCATTTCCTCTGTTTGTCATTTGTCCCACCAGCTGCCCCTTCTTCAAATGTGTAGAACTAATCCTGAACCAGTTGGACCAAAGTTCAGTTGAATTTGGAGTTTTCTTATTTTAAGATATTTACAGACATTTCTGACACAGGTGCTACAAAAGCAAAACAACTCAGATCCTGTCAAAATTATTTTAAATTACTGGGATCTGGGTAATTATGTGTCACCAAAATTATGAGTACAAAATTACTTTGTCAAAGAAATAGCAAATTAACAGCACTACTAAGTTGCATACTGAATGTAGTTTAAGAACATTATTTAGGTTTACTCATGTAACAAATACTTATTAAGTTGACGACGTTCAAGGTATTATAGGTATAGAGGTGGGAAAAAAGTATTTCTTTTTCTTTTTTTTTTTTTTTTGACAGGCAGAGTGGACAGTGAGAGAGAGAGACAGAGAGAGAAAGGTCTTCCTTTTGTCGTTGGTTCACCCTCCAATGGCCGCCACTGCAGCCGGCGCACCGCGCTGATCCGATGGCAGAAGCCAGGAGCCAGGTGCTTTTCCTGGTCTCCCATGGGGTGCAGGGCCCAAGCACCTGGGCCATCCTCCACTGCACTCCCTGGCCATAGCAGAGAGCTGGCCTGGAAGAGGGGCAACCGGGACAGAATCCGGCGCCCCAACCGGGACTAGAACCCGGTGTGCCGGCGCCGCAAGGTGGAGGATTAGCCTATTGAGCCACGGCGCCGGCCCATGGAAAAAAAGTATTTCTTCTCTTGGGAAGCTTATAGTCAAACAGAAAGACATACTTGAATTACTCTATTTTGTTTTCCCTGTTATAATGGCATCATGGAAGAAGCAACAACCGAAGGTAAATTTTATATTATATATAAATATACATATATATATTACCACAATAAAAACACTATATATAGTCTTTTAAACATAGATTTTACACTGATCTTTCTAATATTTGAAAAATCTTTAGTATAAAATATGTCTCTAGGGAGCAAAAAGGACTGAAACCTCAACCTGCTGTGTATCAACCCAAAAAAACAACTAATAGAAAAACAACTATTTATGGAGTGCTTTCTGGATTGATGGATTTCTAACTGTTACTTTGAATGTTTAAGCATGTTCTCTTGTAAATAAAAATGCAATATTTAAAAACCTAGATTTCTTTCCCCAAAGTTAGAAGTTACCAAGTGTTTCCCAGTTATTTGAAACAAAACAAAACAAAAATTCATTTCCAGATGGGAAAAAAAATGTGCATTTTTACTGTCTATGCCTTAAAAACAACAAATGCGTCACCATTAAATTAATTATTAGGGATAAAAATTTGTGATCTATAAATTCATGTTTTTAAGTCAGAGGTGATGAAAAGCAGCTATAACTATAACAAAAAAAACTAATCATCACTTATATATTAAAATATTTATTATAACAATCAGAGCTCATCTAGGTCAACAAGTTGACTGCAGAACACAAAAAAAGGAGTGAGAGAGAAATCTTTGAGACGCTAGAGCAAAGCAAGGTTTTGAGTCATTTGTATAATTCAAGGTTCCAATTACTACAGGTATCACTGGCTGCCCATATTTTTATACTTCCAAGAGCATAAAAAGAATTTTTTTCTATGATAATAGAAGTTGATTCTACTTACTTTTGATGGAAATACCTGAATAATATTTCCAGCTACATCTAGGATTCTTAGTTTTTCAAGATCACAAAGTCCCTGTGTCAGAAAACAAAAGAAATGTTTTTAAAAATCTAATATCTAAAATCATAAGTGTTTCTTTTGAGTTCAGACTTGATGGAGGCTACCATCTTTCCTACCTGATGAATTTTTCAGTATATCTGCCCCAAGGAGATGCTATGGCCCTTTGAGTTCTCTATTTCTTCTAACTGCTCCAGGGCAACATAACACAGTAGCTATGAGTTAGAGCACTTCTAGCTTGAAATCTTATCTCTGGCAACCAGTATTTGTAACTATGAGCCAATTTCTTTGTGTCTTTGTACTTCAATTTCTTCATTGGTAGAATGGAAATGCTAATAGAAAACCCCACTTCATGTGGTTTGTAGAATACATTAAATGAGTCACTAAGCTGTAAGTGCTTACTAAAGTGTTTAATATGTGGTAAGTACTGAATAGATATTATATGTAATTAAAATACAAAGAACAAATGTAATCTTGAAATTTTGCCTTTTGTGATAATTCAGCCAAGATTTGTTATACATCTACTTCTTGCTTAGCACAGCATTACCACAATCCTTTCCTTATAAAGGGATGTGTCTACCTGCATACTCAAATGACATACCCAAAATCATTCCTTCTTAAACAATGGCAAGATACGTACTAGCAGATCTGGGATGATATTCTTCTGATATAGTAATTCCAGCATAAAAAAATTTATTTCTCATAAATCTAGCAAATTTCCATCTCACTGGCCTAGCTAAAATCTACCAATCCTTGAAGAAATCATTGTGTCCAAGGTGATAAAATATTTGATTGGCCAAGTCTGGTCTGACCAGTGGGTCCATCAGCTCTAAACAAACCTCACAGATTGATTGAGGAAGGAAAGATATTACAAAGCCAAATAATAATGCCATTATGGAAAGTAGCAGCGCTGGATACTAGTTAAACAAAAACAACAGATGAATGCCATGCCTTGTTAAAGAGTATATTTTTTATATAAGCAATCACATATTTAGTGCCAACCACATTCTAGGAACTGAGTGGGAAGCTAATATTCATTATGGGCTGGCGCCGTGGCTCAATATGCTAATCCTCCGCCTTGCGGCGCCAGCACACAGGGTTCTAGTCCCGGTCGGGGCACCGGATTCTGTCCCGGTTGCCCCTCTTCCAGGCCAGCTCTCTGCTGTGGCCAGGGAGTGCAGTGGAGGATGGCCCAAGTGCTTGGGCCCTGCACCCCATGGGAGACCAGGATAAGTACCTGGCTCCTGCCTTCGGATCAGCGTGGTGCACCAGCCGCAGCACGCTGGCCGCGGCGGCCATTGGAGGGTGAACCAGCGGCAAAGAAAGACCTTTCTCTCTGTCTCTCTCTCACTGTCCACTCTGCCTGTCAAAAAAAAAAATTTTTTAATTAAAAATAAAGAAAAAAATATTCATTATGATTAATAAAAACATATGAGTTGCATTTTTTAAATTTTAATTTTAATGACTCCAACATTCCCAAGGCACAATCCATGGAATATTAATAGATATTAAATGCAAAAAAAGAGTTCTAAGTTAAATTCAGGAAACTAATTTAATGAAGTTAAGCATCTTTACTGCAGAACTGCTCATTATTTTTAATATACTAATATATTCTGTGAATCTACAAGAAGAGGTCATTAGCACCTGTTTTATTCAGGCCAGGCTGCTTGTGTAACAAAGTACCACAGATTGGTTAGCTTATAAACAGAAATTTACTTCCCATGATTCTGGAGTCTAGAAGTCCAAGAGCAGGATTTCAACATGGTCAGGTTCTGGTGAGGGCTCTCTTCTTGGTTGCAAACTGCCAACTTCTCATTGTATCCCCACATGTGGAAACAGCTAGAGAGCTCTCTGAGGTCTGCTTTACACATCTCTTAATTCCACTCACAAGAGCTCGACCCTCATGAACTAACAAACTTAAAAGGCTTCACTTCCTAATGCCATCCCATTGACGACTAGTATTTTAATAAATGAATTTTGGAGGGACACCAACATTCACTCTATGACAGCCTTTCTGATCATATATTGTTCCAGAGGAATACTCAGGACTTGTGTTCTTTGAAGAATACTTCAGGAAATGATACACTAGGCCCTGTGTTGAACACTCACATTTTGGTTCCTAATATTCTATCTTTGTATATGAACTCTGAATTTCTTTGTTGGAGTTTTAAGATATTGCTGCCATTTATGACCAAACCATAGATATGTAAACCTTACTTTTATAGCAGCAGAAGTCTACATAACTCTGTACTTAAGTAATGGAATTCAAATGTGTGTTTGAATTATAATTTTTTAGCACCACTTTCATGTATTGTATGAAGTTTTGTAAAGGTCAACTATTATAATTAAAAGGAAACTATTTCTAAAAGTTAAAGTATATTTCATGTTTTATACATTTTCTCTCTCTGCTTATTAATATACAAATTCAAATCCAAATAGATTAACCTTTCATGACCTCAACTATCATAAAAGCCACATTAGGAACACATTTTTAGCTCCTAAGTCTATTTGTTCTCAACAGATTATTTGTCCCTCAGACCACTTTAGAGAAAGAAAATTAAATTCTTGATCTATCAGTATTGGGGCATAAACATAAATAGAAAACATATATTTGTAAATACATACAAATACACACACAACTTATGAAATATACTAGAGTGGCCGGTACTGTAGCATAGTGGGCAAAGCTGCTGCCTGCAGTGCCAGCATCCCATATGGATGCTAGTTCAAGTCCCAGCTGTTTTTTTTTTTCTTTTTTTTTTTTTTTTTTTTTTGACAGGCAGAGTGGACAGTGAGAGAGAGAGAGACAGAGAGAAAGGTCTTCCTTTTGCCGTTGGTTCACCCTCCAATGGCCGCCGCGGCCAGCGTGCTGCGGCTGGCGCACCACGCTGATCCGAAGGCAGGAGCCAGGTACTTATCCTGGTCTCCCATGGGGTGCAGGGCCCAAGCACTTGGGCCATCCTCCACTGCACTCCCTGGCCACAGCAGAGAGCTGGCCTGGAAGAGGGGCAACCGGGACAGAATCCGGTGCCCCAACCGGGACTAGAACCCTGTGTGCCGGCGCCGCAAGGCGGAGGATTAGCCTAGTGAGCCGCGGTGCCGGCCGAGTCCCAGCTGTTTCATTCCCAATCCAGTTCTCTGTTATGGCCTGGGAAAGCAGTAGAAGATGGCCCAAGTCCTTGGGTCCCTGTACCTGCACTGGAGACCTGGAAGAAGCTCTTGGCTCCTGGCTTCAGACTGGCCCAGCTCCAGCCATTGTGGCCATTTGAGGAGTGAACCAGCATGGAAGACCTCTCTCTCTTTCTCTCCCTCCCTCAGCCTCTCTGTAACCCTGTCCTTCAAATAAATAATAAATAAATCTTAAAAAAATATAATATACTAGAAGATGAATCATAACCCAGCAAGTTAGTTTTTTTCTGTAATGCATAAAAATCATTGATAACATAGAACAAAATTTACAATGACCAATTTAATCACACTAAATGCCCCAACAGTATAAATGTAATCATGGGCATTCTTTGCATGAAAGTGTAGTGTAGGACTCATTTGGCCAGGCTTAAGGATGCTGAAGTTCCCTAAACCAAGAAAAATGATTCCATAAACACACAAAGGTAATAGAAGCTAGCAGCATTGGGGAGTTCTTTACTACCCTAATCTTCAGAGAGCCAAAAGGAAGCAATAATTGTTTCTAAGTGGACTACCTAGAACTAATGGTGGCCTTTCAGCGAGGCATGCAGTCAACCAACAGCACTCTGCCAGAAAGGATATTGTAAGAATACCATCTGTTACTCACTCTCCTTGCACCCTTTCACTTCCTGCTTGTGTCTCTGATAGGCCCTATCCAAAAGGAAGCCAGAGGACAAAGAATCTCACTGATGCCTACACACAACAATCTCCCAGGCATAAGCATGTGAGAGAAAAACAGAATGGACATAGATGAAAAATGGAAGACATCTAGCACATATTGAAAAGCCAAAATGAATTTGTGTTTTGATCTTTATATAGGATTTCCAGGTAAAATACATAATGTTCACATAAATCTCAAACCATGAATATTTTTTAGTTTATGTGTCAACAATATTGGTAGCATACTATTACTAAAATATAAACATGTGTTGCTTGCCTGAAATTCAAATTCAAGTGGGCATCTTGTAATTTTATTTACTACATCTGAGAGTTGTGTCGAGTAACCCAAATTAGCACCTTCTTCTGTTATAGGTTTGTGGAAACCGACTACATCTAATTTGAGTGAGAGAAAGGTATGTTTCATACTCAGATACGCATTTCTAATCTATAGCCTTCTCCCATCATGCTGAAATGAGTTTCTCTACAAGAACAACAACAACAACAAATGTGGCTCCATGTTTTGCTTACCTGTGGCAAAGCTTCAATGTTGTTCCTCACCAGAAAAAGTTTCTGGAGCTTCTTCAAGAACTTAATCTCTTCAGGTATACAAATGAGCTTATTGTAGTTAAGTTGAAGTTCAGAAAGATTTTCAAGGAAACAAAGTTCTGTAGGAATGCTGGATAGCTGGTTATGATTTATACTCATATACTTAAGGCTCTTTAGTCTACAAAAGAAAAAAAATATATGAATAAGAATGTCCTTTGTCTCAAAATGACTTATCAGAAGTCATTTGTCTATTTTTAGTAGCTCATCGGAGCCTTACGTCAAGTGTTTTCACGTACTCTGAATCTTTGAGCCTTAAGAAGTCTTTGCTGAAATTTAATATTTAAATGCATTTTATAATCAGATGACTATGTCAAAAGTATTTTATGTAATCAATTACAAGATATACTAATCAGCTTTTCATGACCATGAGGAAATACCTGAGAAGGCTAATTTTATAAAGAGAAAAGTTTTATTTAGCTCACACATTTGGAGGTTCAAGGCCAAGCTCAGTTGACCCCATCAATTTGGCTATCTGGTGACACAAGAGGATGACAATGTGGAGTGCGAGCAGAGGAAGAATTACATGGTGAGTCAGGAAGCAGAGAATGACCTGGCAGGTTGTTGGCTTTTATAGCTAGCTATTTCATGAAACCAACCTTTCTTAGGCATATTCCCATGACCTAAGAACTTCTCACAAGGTTCATCTCCTGAACATTGTATGTGGATTAAGTCTCCACCCTCTTAGCACCATCAACTGATGACTTTAGAGTTTAAAGTCTATCATGAGTTCAGAAGCTATATCCCCAAACGCAGTACTAGATGTAAGAAAAAGAAAATCCTGCTTTCATCATTTACATGTACATACTAACCACATCAAAGATGAAACTGGAAAACATGTACATATCTAGATAGAACAGATACAGTCAGACAAAGGCATAGGTATAGATACAGATATAGGCATAAGTATAGATAAATGTAGACATAAATATATCTGATACCAAAGAGATATTAGTATCTCTTAATTGCTGTAGAATATTCAAAAGTGGTTTGGCCATAAATTCTGCAGTTTTAGATATTTTGGTTTAGAGGAAGATATCAGGTAAGGGCATAAAAGGAGGACAGGAATGTCACTAGATTTAAAAAGAAAAAGATTAAGGAAATTGGAGTCTATCATGGTAGATATGGCTTTACAAGTTTCTTGGAATAACACAAGAGCACATGTGAGGATACAGTGTGAAGGTGACAGTCTATGAACTGTCAGCTCTCTGCTGTGGCCCAGGAGTGCAGTGGAGGATGGCCCAAGTGCTTGGACCCTGCACCCTATGGGAAACCAAGATAAACACCTGGCTCCTGGCTTCGGATCAGCGCGGTGCACCGGCCGCAGTGCGCCGGCCGCGGTGGCCATTGGAGGGTGAACCAACGGCAAAAGGAAGACCTTTCTCTCTCTCTCACTGTCCACTCTGCCTGTCAAAAAAAAAAAAAAAGAAAGAAAAAAAGAAAGTTTACTGAAAATATGTCTTTGAGGGGCCAGCACCTTGGCCTGAAGTGTTGGCATCCCATATGGGTGCTGGTTCAAGACCCGGCTGCTCCACATTCCACCCAGCTCTCTGCTATGGCCTGAGATAGCAGTGGAAGATGGACCAAGTCCTTGGGCCCCTGCACCCACGTGGGAGACCCAGAGGAAGCTCCTGGCTCCTGGCTTTGGATCGGCACAGTTCCTGCTATTGCAGCCAACTGGGGAGTGAACCACTGGATGGAAGACCTCTCTCCCTCTCTCTGCCTCTCCTCTGTCTGCATATCTCTGACTTTCAAGTAAAATAAAATTAAAAAATCTTTAAAAAAGGAAAATATATCTTTGTTAAAATTGAGAATTAAGAATGAGAATAAGAGAGAGAGGAGGAAGAAGGGTGGGAATATGGGCAGAAGGGAGGGTAGTGTGGGAAGTATCACTATGTTCCTAAATCTGTATACATGAAATACATGAAATGTGTATACCTTAAATAAAATGTAAAAAAATAAAAATGAAAAGGTACAATTACTTTGCAAAAAAATAAAATGTTGGCAATCCCTTCAAAAGTAACATATATGCCTACCCTCCTACCTTATGATTGTACAATTCCACTCCTTGAAATTGAAATAAAAAATTAAACATACATCCCAAAAAAGACTTAACACAAGAATATGACATATAAACTCATAATAGCATCAAATTGGAAATAACAGCTCTACATAAATAGGGAAAAAGACTGATATTTTATGGCATATCCAATGCAATGAAATGACAGTCATGGTAAACAAAAAACAACTACTGATGAATATAACAAGATGAATCACTCAAAAAGTGCCAAGAAAATAAAGATAGAAAAGGGGCAGGCATTGTGGCATGGCAGGTAAACTTACCGCCTGCAATGCCAGCATCCCTTTTAGGCTCCACTCCTGAGCAGCTCCCTGCTAATGCACCTGGGAAAGCAGCAGAAGATGGTCCAAGTGCTTGGGCTTCTGCACTCACGTGAGAGACCCACAAGAAGCTCCTGGCTCCTGGCTTTGGTCTGGCCCAGCCCTGGTCATTGCAGCCATTTGGGGAGCAAACCAGTTTATGGAAAACCTCTCTCTCTCTCTCTCTCTCTCTCTCTCTCTAACTCTGCCTTTCAAATAAATAAGATAAATCTTAAAAAAAAAGAAGTAGACAAAAAAGAGTATATGCTGTGATTCACTTATTTAGTTGCAAGACAAGTAAAACTAATTTGTAGAGACAGAAATCAGAACATTAGTTTCTCATGAAAGGCAAACAATAGAACTTAATTCCCTTGAAGAGTTTAAAAGGAAATGTCTGAGTTTAAGGAAATGCTGTATACATTATTGGTGTATGTATATTTGTCAAAACTCAGCAAATTATACACTCATGAGCTTTATGAAGTTTTTAGTCAGCAGAGAGAAAAATCATAAGATTTGGCTAAAGGACACTAATGACATTCAAAAATGATCTACAACAGAATAGGAGAGGCTAAAGAGAATACACAGAGGATTAAGCAGGAAGCAAGGGCAATAGACAAAGGGTACTTTAGGAAGGAGTTGAGGGAGAGGAGAGTAGATCAGTGGTAATAAAGAGGCTAAAAGAAGGGAAATCAAATTTTTCAGTAATGTAGGGAGCAAAGTCATTTGCAGAGAATACAGAGGGTCAAAGCAAGACAACTGAGAATTGAAAGGGAGTGAAAATGTGTGAGTAGGTCCAGGAAGAAAGGAAGGGGCATCAACCAGGCTACAATCATAATTGTAATCAATTCTACTCTGGATTACTATATTATATGAGTGCCTTTCCTTCTCTTTTCTATTTTTGTTGTTGTTATTTCAAGGCACTAATTTGAGTTCAGAGTCTATTGTAAATGTGTTCATTATTCATTTGGGTGAGTAGAGAGGAGAGGAGACACACAAGTATCTGGCACTGGTCTGGTTTCCAGAGAGTGCAGAGAACCAGTTTTTGAAAGAAAAACTGCTTGCCCTTCTCTTTGCTCTATCTCCTCCCTAGTGAGCTGATGAACAACCTCACAGGACAACTTCACTGATTCGTGAAATTCAAGAAACAATGCAGACTGTTGGCCTAGGCCCTTCCTCTTTCCTTCTCTGTCTCTTACAGAGATCCTGCCTGTCGCTCCCCCTCTTCGTGGAGGAACGACACAGGACCCTGCGCTGTTCTTTCGTCTGCTCGGCCCTCCCCGGGTTTGCTGCTGGTTCTTCCCGGGTTGGCTACCGACCCTTCCGCCTCCGTGGAAGGGCGGTTCCCCCTGCCACTTTCCCCACTTCCGCGGGGGAGCGGCACACCGCCGGCCGGCTCTCTCGGGGGCTGCACAGGTGTTCCTTCAGATAGATGTTCCTGGTGCATGCCGTCTCTCTCCTCCTCTAGAGTCATCCTGCGCTGCTTGTAACTCGCATGCCCACGCGGATAGAACGGAGGTCTACTCCAATCAGGAGCAGGATCAGCTCCTGGAGGTCATCACTCAAGTTGGCAAGAGGCAGCTGCGTAGAAGCTGTTTTCTTCTCTCCCAGCGCCATATTGTGGGAGAGCAGATGCATAGAATAAGTCTTAATTCCAGTAACTCAGTCCAGTCCGGGTTGCTCCCCACACTGCCCAACTTCTCCTTCTTTCTGGAATTGCACAGCTCTGTCCATGACAGTCATTTAGTGGTAAAACTCTCACCAGTCTAGGCTTGACTACAAAGTCATGAATAACTACTCTGTAGTTTAAGCAAGTCACAATCAAAACTCCTCTCTCCCACTCCTGAGTTGTGAACAAACTGAAAAGTAGGATTCAGCAAAAAGGAGATCAAACATCAGCATAAAGCTGACATAACCACTCAGTCTCCCTTCGAGCCCTCCCCTAAATTAAACAAATCACCCTGTCAGTCACAGCCCTTCTGGCTCAGGCTGCTGCTTACTTCTTGACAGGGCGAGAAGAGCCATTGTGTGTTCAATGCTGTTCCCAACTTCACTGGTAAATCACTCTTTTTCCCTGGAAAGGAGTGAAGGGGGGAGACAGATACAATCTAGAATAAAAATAACAATCAGTGATAATAAATGCTCACATCCAGTTGAGCATTTACTCAGTCCTAAAAGCCTGTTATATTCCAAGCTCAACCTTAAACACATTTTCTAGATTAGCTTACTTGAAATTCAAAACAACCCTATGAAGTAGGTAGTATCACCATTTTTACTTATGCAGATGGAGACACTAATATATAAGCAGGTTGAAAGGAGAAAAAAAAAACTTGCCCAGAGTCAGAAAATGGAATTCTGCTTGGGGAGATAACCCCCATTTTATATTCGATATCTTGGTCACAGCCAGAATACAGACAAACCAAAATTAGCTATAAAACAACATGAACCTATAGCAGTCCTACTTTTTTCAGTGAATAGTTCCATTCACATTTCTAATATAGCACCTTCATTTTTACGATTCCTCTAATATTGTACTTTGTACTCCAAACAAATGTAAATTTATTAAGTTATGAAATCATAAAATTTTATAACAGTAAGACTTTAAGTTCATTTACTCAAAATTCTTCCTTTAGAGATGAGAAAGTTGAGGTATAGGGCAGTTAAATTACCTGTCCAAGGTCAATAAGGCCTATTGCACAGAAATATGGTACAAACCTAACTCACCAGATTATTCAAGGTGTCCTTTTTTTGTTACACCATTATCACTAAGCAAATCAAGTGATAAGGTGAACAAGTTAAAACCAAGAAAATAACTACTACTATAAATACTTCCTTTCTATGGAAATTAGGTCAATTCTATTTTTTTTCTAGTTCATTTGACTTACAATACTACTTTTCCTGTAAAAATCTATTTGGGAAGGAGAATACTTTGGCTAAAGGAACAGATAAGTGAATGAGGATAGACTTTAGGTGCTGCAGAAAGCCTTGTGTTGAGGACTGTTCATAGATTTGTATCCTCCTATAAAACTCGGGATGTTCTTACTTTATAACACATCTGTTTCTGCTCAACAAGCAATAAAGAGAGCCTCCAGAGTAAACCAGAGTGAGGTTCTCGCTCCATCTGTCAGAGAAAAAGCCCAAGAGGGTGTTTTGCCTGCAGAAGAACAAGGCCCTCAGCTGGCTCCAGACAGGCATCGTAATGGCAGCTTGTCTGTGCAGATGTGCTGGAGACAGGAAAAATAGCATTTTGTTGTTAATGATAGTAAAATGTGGGGGATATTTTTATGAAAATGACATCTAGTTTTAAATCCTTTGCTTTTATATTACCTTTTCTATCAAGCTCAAAATGGTTTACAACAATCATGTGAAATAAAATTTAATGTCCCTAATTCTGGAGCTAGGTAAGCTCCAAGAACCCTAGAGTTGGAAAACCAATAACACCATCAGCTTTAGGACTTAAGGCTTCAAACCCCCACTTTTACACTTAGACTACCAAGCCCTGCTGTTTCTCATTTCTCTGAAGTGTTTAAGGGATCATCTGCTTAAAATTAGTGGTTTGCCTCAGTCCTTCATATCCCTCTGTGCTATGTATAAACATACAGGGAACTGTGGCAAGGTATAATGCTTTCAGATGACCAGGGCAGGGGCCAGAGGCAGGGGCAGGGGGGGTAGTGGGTGGAGAGGCATGGGTCTCACCAAGTCTCACTATCAACAAAATTACCTGCTGATTTCTTCAGGAAGCCATGTCAGCTGGTTGTTGTTCAGGTTAAGCAGGATCAAATTTTGTAAGCCATCTGTTAGAAAATAATTATAGTCACTCCAGCCATCTGTTAGAAACTAATTTTTAGTGATTTTTCTATACACCTTTATTTTCCTTATGGTTTCGTGTCTTGGCCAAAACTCTTTTGGTTGCTGGCAATAGATAAGCTCTTAAACTAGCTAAAGCAAAAAGGGAGAATTTATCATGAAGTTACAAATCTCAGTCACAGAGAATGAGGACAGAGGGCACAATCAGGCTCACCACAAACTAGGACCAGAAACTAAGCAGCACTCAGAACTGGGACTAATGTACTCTCTAGGCATCCCTTTAAAGTGTCTCTAAACTTCACATTTACTTCACATTCTCTTCTACACCCTCACTTCCCTCCAGTCTTTCTCTTTTGAACAGATTTGCTCCATTTTTCTATGTATTCATAGCCATCCTACAACTCTTGAGTTTGAATGTTCACAGACAGGATAAGCAGAGTCCTCAAACTCAAACACATATAAGAATCAAAAAGGTACCTATGCCTTGTCAAATAGGGACACCATCGCTCAGCCAGCTCCTGGCAATATGGGAATGTGATTACAGCATTGCTTAATCTTTCTTTCATAAAAGATCCTATAAAACAAGAAAAAAAAAAAAAAAACAGAGATCCTGACCTTTAAATGAACTCTCCTACTTGAAAATCTGGGCATCTAATTCAAAGTTTTAAAAAGGTTGACAAAATAGAACCAATTTTGTGAAGCAGATTCAATCCATGGGCCATTGGTTTACAATCTCAGCCTCATGCCATATGATGATCTCAAACCAATTAAACAGCTTGAGACTCTATCATAATCCCTTAGACAGAAAGTATAGGACTGACTCAGCTTGAAACCTATGTCTAGTCTGTGGGGAGCAACCCGGACTAGACTGAGTTACTGGAATTAAGACTTATTCTATGCATCTGCTCTCCCACAATATGGCGCTGGGAGAGGAGAAAACAGCTTCTACGCAGCTGCCTCTTGCCAACCTGAGTGATGACCTCCAGGAGCTGAACCTGCTCCTGATTGGAGGAGAGCAGTGTACTCGGCGTGTGGGCAGCCGAGTTGGGATTGGCAGAGGAGGACTATAAAGGAGGAGAGAGACGGCATGCACCAGGAACATCTATGGGGAACATCTAAGGGGAACATCTAGCTGAAGGAACACCCGTGCAGCCCCCCAGAGAGCCGGCCGGCGGTGTGCCGCTCCCCTGCGGAAGTGGGGAATGTGGCCAGGGGGAACTGCCCTTCCACGGAGGTGGAAGGGATAGTAGCCAACCCGGGAAGAACCAGCAGCAAACCCGGGGAGGGCCGAGCAGACGAAAGAACAGCGCAGGGTCTTGTGTCGTTCCCCCACGAAGACGGGGAGCGACATAATGGTGCCGTGACTCGGATATGAAGCCTAGGCAGGGTTTAGTGTCGTTCCTCCATGAAGAGGGGGAGCGACATAGTCCTCTTCAGTCTGGTCAAAAGAACAGGGTCATATAACACAAAAAGGTATCCAGACCCATGCTAGATAGCACTCAACTTCTTGCCTCCAAACCACAGCCTTGGAAAACCAGGACTTGACACAGGACGTAAATTATGTCAGTCACATGGGACTTCCAAAACACAACAACGAAAAATCAAGAAATATAGAACTTAAAGACATCCAAGAGCACTATGGGGTTGGTGTTATGGTGCAGCTGGTTAGGCCACCACTTAGGACTCCCACATCCCATGTCAGAGTGCTAGTTGGAATCTTGACTACTCTGATTCCAGTCCAGCTTCCTGCTATTGTACACCCTGGGAGGTAGCAGATGGTCTTTCTCTCTCTTTCTCTCTCTCTTTCTCTCTCTCTCTCTTACTCCCTCCCTCCTTCCCTCCAGCTATCTTTCTGTATCACTGTACCTTTCAAATAAATACATTTGACTATATATATATGATTTATGTACATACATATATCATATGTATACATATATATATATATATACAGTAAAGTAGCTTACATGAATTAACAAACTACAAAAATCAACTTGGTCACTTTGCCTACTTAAGCCCACTATATTAAATGAGAAGAATGTCACACTAAATGAAGAAATACAAAGAAAAAAGTTCCACTTATTGAATCTCATATATTTTCTTTAAACTTCTCCCCAAATAGATTTTTCCCAATAAATTTTTGTTGTTGCTTTTTTCAATTTTTATTTATTTTACTTATTTGTGCTCCTAGAAGAATTTTTAAAATTTATTTTAAGATTTAACAATTTTTAACATGTTGTCATATTCACTTCATAAGTAGAAACACTATATAAATACACATATATATTATTTTCCTTAAAAATAGAGATATTACTATCACATAATATGAGACTCATGACAGTGATCATCAAGTGAGGAAAGAAGGGTATATTGTTATGTAGATAGTATAATTCAAAGAAGATAGCATTTATAACTATCTATATACCAAATAGTATTTGAATTTAGTATCTTCATCAGAAATTTTAACTTAAGATCTGAGACAATAAAAATGAAAAGAGGGGCCGGCACTGTGGTGTAGTGGGGAAAGCCACTGCCTGCAGTTCCGGCATCCCATATGGGCGCTGGTTCGAGTCTCGGCTGCTCCACTTCTGATCAAGCTCTCTGCTAGGGCCTTGCAAAGCAATGGAAGATGGTCCAAGTCCATGAGCCCCTGAACCTATGTGGAAGACCTGGAAAAAGCTCCTGGCTTCAGATTGGCCCAGCTCCAGCTGTTGCAGTCACCTGGGGAGTGCACCATCAGATGAAAGACCTCTCTCGCTCTCTCTGCCTCTGCCTCTCTGTAACTCTCCATTTCAAATAAATAAATAAATCTTTTTTAAAAAAATGAAAAGAGCAAGGAAGAACTCTCTTCTATGACTAACTTACCACATGCTCCAGATGCAAATCTACAAATCCTGTTTCCAAATAAATGGAGTTTCTTTAGGGATGTAAGGTATTTCATCTCTTCTGGAACTTCTTCTAAAAGGTTGTTCCCCAAATTTAGTGCTGTCAACTGAAAACATATAGAGATTTAATGGACTCATACATTAGATAACTTCAAATAAGCAAAAGAAATAATGTAAGCCCATTTGTTCAGATTTATGTAACCTAATTTCAAGACAATAATGTTGATTGAATTGCTTAAATCATTAAATTGCATTATAAACCTTCCAACTGTGTTTAAAAACATAATTAGTGATATATTCATAACTCATTTAAGCAACCAAAGAGTATCCTAACATTGTGACCCATAGAATCAACCCATTAAAGATTCAGCAAAGGGTCTCATTTCCTAAAATCTGAAACAGAGCCAAAGATTCGAGATCCTTCTAACTTACTATTCCCAAATGAGCTATTTCATTTAGGCCAACAAGGCTGCTCCATAACAAGGATTTGGCTGGAGGAATTGGTCTTTAATTTAGATGTTACCATGTGATCACAAACTTTACGAAGTCAGCTACTAAAATGCTATAGAGTTAAGAGGATCTGCACTATATGTATCTGTCCTACTATTGATGGATTGGTCAGACACAGGAAGAACAACACAAAAGAATGAAAAGATTCCTCCTTGATACCCTACAATAAACCAATGATTTAGAGTTTTTCCCTAAAACATGGTAATTTTCTTGGATATAGAATTTATTTGTACCTTCCAAAGTAATAATTTACCATTTGGATTTAATTACCAAGTCTATCCCTTAGAATTTTAATATTAAAGATAAAATAAAAGGAATCATAGCATTTTAAAAAATAATGAATTTACATAAGACAAAAAATTTTAAGAAGAAAGTTCAGGGCCGGCGCCGTGGCTCACTTGCTTAATCCTCTGCCTGCGGCGCCAGCATCCCATATGGGTGTCGGGTTCTAGTCCCAGTTGCTCCTCCTCTACTCCAGCTCTCTGCTGTGGCTGGGGAGGGCAGTGGAGGATGGCCCAAGTACTTGGGCCCCTGCACCCGCATGGGAGACCAGGAGGACGCACCTGGCTCCTGGCTTCTGATCGGTGCAGCGCCGGCCATGGTGGCCATTTGGGGAGTGAACCAATGGAAGGAAGAACTTTCTCTCTCTCTCTCTCTCTCTCTCTCTCTCTCTCTCTCACTGTCTATAACTCTACCTTTCAAATAAAAAAAAATGTTCAAGTAATTTACAATTTATATTTAAATGTGACCTAGCACATTTGGCATGGATCCATGTCAATTATTTAAATTAATACAGAGAAGTACCTGTAGATAATTACATGAAATTTTTTATTCAATGATAAAGGTTTAACTTCCATATGTAGTTTTGTCTGATAATTACCACACATTTAGGGGGCCTGTGCTGTGGAGCAGTAGGTTAATCCTCCACCTGTGGCATCGGCATACCTTGTGGGCGCTGGTTCTAGTCCCAGCTGCTCCCCTTCCAATCCAGCTCTCTGCTGTGGCCTGGGAGGGCAGTGGAGGATGGCCCAGGTACTTGGGCCCCTGCACCTGTGTCGGGGACAAGGAGGAACCTCCTGGTTCCTGTCTTCGGATTGGTGTAGCTCCAGCTATTGCGGCCATTTGGGGAGTGAACCAAAGGAGGGAGGACCTTTCTCTCTGTCTCTTCCTCTCACTGTCTGTAGCTTTACCTCTCAAATAAATAAATAAATAAAATCTTTAAAAACACATACACATTTAGGTAGTTATTTGGATGCAAAGACTGTTACTGTATTAGTTTCCTAATATTGGTGTAATGAACTGCAATGAACTTCATGGCTTAAAACAACACAAAAATATTAAAGTTCTTGAGGCCAGAAATCAGAATTGGATCTCAGAGACATACAACCAGTGGTGGTAGCAAGGTGTTCATTTCTGAGAACTCTTAAAAGAACTGTAAGAGAGAGGGCTATCAATGACTACTTGAAATTTCGTTTCTATAAAGAAGTAGATTTCATTCTTTTCCCTAAAGTTTAGTGAAAAAATTCTTAGTAGTCAACCAGTATGGAGAACCTAACAAAATCTGTGAGCACAGATGAGATATGCAAGAGTATCAGGCATCAAAAAAGGTCCAAGATTTTATCCAATGTGCAAGCTAACAAGTTAATCTGCCAGTTTCATAAATGCTGATAGAGACTGTTTCTGAGAACTTCAGGAAAGAGACAAAGCACAATTACTTTGAACAACCGAAGTGCCAGCATATCACTATTTTTGCATTAGAAATGCAAAAGAAATGATACCAGGATTACAGTGAGCTGTGTTACAGAAAAGAAACCATGTGCATAGGGACCCTGATTCTTTTTTAATGGGCAGTAAATGATTCACCTTTGCTCCAAATGGAGACACTTATTTTCAAGGCTGTCTGCTATTTAAATACCCTTGAAAAGTTAATCCAGAACAAAGGCAGCCTATGCTTCTACTTACAAGACATTTGGAAGAAAAAAAGAGGGTGCAATTTATATTTTAAAATTAGGTAGGTAAAAGTAAACAAGAAATAGAGCTTGTGATTTCTCACATTATCAATATCTTTCCCTACATTTCTGAGGACACATATTGTATAGTGTTCATTTTGCATGTTATGACGTAAGTTGTCAACTATGAACTAGAGATAATTTTGTCATTGTCTACACAATATCTAAAGGAATGGACAAGATATATAAGGATAGCATCATAATTTGATTCCATGGCATATCAAAGAGAAGGCACAGGATATTATCAATCTTGACTATAATGTGAGGTGGCTTTTTATTTTATTTCATGTTTGTAAGGTTTTTGTGATGACTAAAATATAAACAAATGAAGAAAATACATTCTGAACCACCCATATTCTGAGAATATAATCATCTCTAAGAAAGTAGCTGGAAGGTCACCTATTGATTTAAACACTCTGAAAAATATGCATTTCATGCCTACCATGGGCATGAAGTAAGACACATGAGTAAGACACATGACATCTTTACCCTGAATTTGCTTACACAGTAATAGTAAAAGAGTGGTAACACAATAAATGGCTGAACAATTAATAATAAAAAATAACAAACCATATTAAGATGATTTTCAATCATCTAATTGAAAGAGGAGAGAGTGATTGATCGGGACAATCTTAGACATTGATAGAGACATGAGTGACACTAAGGAAGAAGAAATGACTAAAATAGGCCAGAGCTGAGGCTTACTTGGCTAATCCTCCACCTGCGGCACCAGCACACCAGGTTCTGGTCCTGGTTGGGGAGCTGGATTCTGTCCCGGTTGCCCCTCTTCCAGGCCAGCTCTCTGCTGTGGCCCGGGAAGGCAGTGGAGGATGCCCCCAAGTTCTTGGGCCCTGCACCCACATTGAAGACCAGAAGAAAGCACCTGGCTCCTGGCTTCGGATCGGCACAGCGCGCCAGCCATAGCAGCCATTTGGGAAGTGAACCAATGGAAGGAAGACTTTTATCTCTGTCTCTCTTTCTCACTGTCTACCTCTGCCTGTCAAAAAAGAAAATGACTAAAATAAAGATCCCAAAGTAAGAATGTTCTTGGTGTGGCTGGGGAGGCAAAAGATGCAACTGATGCAGCTGAGCACAGTGGGTAGAAGGAAGCCAACAAATATGACAATCAAAAGGGTTATCTGGGTCAGATGTATGTATGGTTTTGTAAAGCAAAGAAAGACAGTGGAGAGAGATGGATAGGTTTTGGAGTTGCTTTCAATGTAAAGCAAAAAGAATGTGAGATGTAGGAGAAACAGAAGAATCATGGATGGCATCTATCTTTGAAGTCTGAGCATATGTGCACATGTGATGGGCAAAACTAGTTCAATGGCAGTTTTTGGAAGAGGAACAAGGAATTAAGAGTTTTTCTTTAAAAAATTTATACAAAGAGAAGATATTTCATGTATTTCATATATACAATTTTAATTCCATATGATACTTCCCACCCTACTGCCCTCCTTCCCTCATCCTTCTTTTTTTTTTTCTTTTAATGTTTGTAATAGCACACTTTCAATTTACTTTATAGTTATGGCTTAATCCTCCACTAAATAAAGAATTCAATAAGTAGAAAGTGGAAAAACCATTGTTATGCAGGAGTATAAACAAAGGCAATAAACAACAACCAAACCCCACAATGTCAATTTCACTCAGATACATTTTTTGTACTCTATGAGCTACTACGAATCAAACATATGATATTTGTCTTTTTGGGTCTGACTTGTTTCATTAAGCATAATGGTCTATAGTTTCAGACCTAACCTATATGTATCACTAATTCAATTATGTTTATTATCAGTCTGTTGCAGATACATGAAAAAATGCTCAGGATCACTAGCCATCGGGAAAATGCCAATCAAAACCACAACAAGGTTTCACCTCACCCCAGTTAGAATGGCTCTTATACAGAAATCAACAAATGACAAATGCTGGTGAGGATGATGGGGAAAAAGGTACCCTAATCCACTACTGGTGGGAATGTAAACTAGTACAGCCATTGTGGAAGACAGTATGGAGATACCTCAGACAGCTGAAGATATATCTACCATATGATCCAGCAATTCCATTCCTGGGAGTTTATCCAAGGGAAATGAAAGTTCCTGTATCCCATTTATTGCAGTTCAATTCACAATAGCTAAGATATGTAATCAACCCAGATGTCCATCAACAGATGACTGTATAAAGAAATATCACTCACACACACACACACACACACACACTATCAATTACTACTCAGCTATCAAAAAGAATGAAATCCTATCTTTTGTAACAAAATGGTTACAACTAAAAACCATTATACCTTATGAAATAAGCCAATCCCAAAAAGACAATGACCATATACTGGGGCCGGCGATGTGGCTCACTTGGTTAATCCTCCACCTGCAGCGCCGGCATCCCATATGGGTGCCGGTTCTAGTCCCAGCTGCTCCTCTTCTGGTCTAGCTCTCTGCTGTGGCCTGGGAAGGCAGTAGAAGCTGGCCCAAATGCTTGGGCCCCTGTATCCACATAGGAGACCAGCAAGAAGCACCTGCTCCTGGCTTCTGATTAGTGCAGCTCTGGCCAGAGCAGCCATTTGGGGAGTGAACCAACTG